TGCTTAGAAGATGCCATAGAATCTCATAAGAAAAATCTAAAGTCAGAAGAGGGAATTTGAGCACACAATGTAGAGCTGAGTGAATAATTGATTTTTCTGTTTGGGGTGGCTGAACTGGAAAAATCAAAAATAAAATTTGGTTAGTTTCAAATTGAAAATCAAAACCAAAATTTGGTTAGGTTCAAATTGAAAATTTTTGTTTTTTCTTGCCAAAACAAAATAAATTTCATTTTGGGTCAAACAAGTCAATTTTTAGATATAATTTGTTTTTTCAGTTAGGTTGTTTCTGGTTGTTTTGTTACTTTTTTTTAAATTAAAATCTATCTAAATTTCAAGATGACTTTTGATTTCAAAATAATGCTTCAAGACATTTGTTTCAAAAGTGTAGAAACAAACCATTTCAACTTTTTCAATTTTGTCTCTTATTTAGCCAAAGCTTTTTTCCAAATTCAACCCAAATTTAAATAGTTTTGATCATTCCAAAAATTGAATTTTTCAGCAAATTTAGTTATAGTAAAATAGTTACCCAGCGCTAATCAAAAGACTAATTAAATATAATAAAAACAGTAATGATTTGTAAAAACTGTATAAGATTGATAAATGAAGGAGCAACACATCATTAGGACTGGACGGTGGTATTTATCAAAAACATGCAACTTTCATGTCAAAAGCATCCAACAAGAAGATATAAAAGAAACCAAATACCTACAATCTGAAAATTAAAGTACTGTCATGTGTTAGAAACGGGCTAAAAATAGAAAACAAAAAGAAATAATAAATGGTCAATTTTCAATATTCCAAGAGGGTAATGATAGAGTTACAAAAGATTTCATGCCAGGACTGGGGGTATTTAATATAGTTACCAGTGATCTAGAAAAGGGGTTGAACAATGAGGTGGCACAATTAGCAGTTGCTATAAGACTGGAGAAGAGTTTGAAGAAATGTAGAGGGACCTAACAAATCAGGTGACCATATTTTCCCAAAGGGAAAACAGAACACCCTAGGGGCTGACTGAAGACCCCTCTCCCTGCGCAGGGCCGGCCCCGGCCCTCCCTGCCATCCGCCCACACGGGGACAGCCAGAGGCCCCCTCACCTCTCCGCGCGTGGGACAGCCTGAACCCCCCTGCCGCCCACCCGTGGCCAGCCCAGCCCAAGCTGTTCTTCTGAGCCCTCCCTCCCATGCGAGGCTAGCGTTGCCTCTCCCTCCTCCCCCTGCATGTTCCTCTGTGCCCCTGATAATCAGTTGGCAAGAGCAATACGGGACAAATGCCCAGTTTTGCCAAAAAAAGGCCACGCTGACAAATGTATAAAGAATGGGAAAGAAAATACTGAAAATATAATTTATAACACAATATAAATCAATAGTGTACCCTGACCTGAAATACCATGTTCAGAGCTAGCCAGTCTATCTCAAAAGGATACAACATAAGTATAGGGAGTTCATAGATGAGCAACAAAATTGATTAGAGGCATGGGAAGACTTGCGTATGACAAAAGAGAGAAATAAATTGGGGCTGTTTATTTAGAGAGGAGACAAGTAAGACGGACAACAATAGAGGTATACACAATAACAAACAGTAGAAAGATAAGTCAAGCACATTTTAATTAAAATTTATGGTAAACAATTTAGAACCCGATTTAAAAAAACTACTTTCTTTCCACAAAACACAGCTAACGTTTGGAACTCACTGCCGCAAGGTACCATTGAGGCCAACAGCTTAATAAGATTTAAAAAGATTAGACATTTTTATGGGTAATAACAACCAGATTAGACCAAGTAAAAAAACTGGACTAGATATAAAACCCTGTACTTCAGAGCAGAAGGTTATTCCATAAATATCAATTGTCTGGTTTCTGGAAGTTTTCTCTGAAATGTAATAATTGACAGTGTCAGAGGCAGGATGCTGGATGGGATGAAATGATTGGTCAAATTGGATACGGCAATTCCTGTGTTCCTATATTCCATGTCAATTAAACATAGTGCGAGTGTAATCCTATTTATGTCCTGCTGCTTGTAGCATTCTATTCCAGTGTAGTTTTGGAACTCATAGTTGGCTCAGGTGTTTCCTTCTTCTTTATTGCTCCCTTTTTACTAGTTTGGTACCCTGAGGTATCTTGAAAAAGGCAGCAGCTAATGCATCCGCACATTATGCTAACAACAATGCTCACAAGCATGTAGGATGGAACAAGGCCACAGGTGCAGCAATATTTCTGGCCACAAAGTGTCTTCAAAGACCAAATGTACTAAAACAATTTTTTATAAAAGCCAGCAGCATCTTTAGTATTAAGACAAATGGAAAATTGCACTACAAATGGGCTCAATTGTGACCAGCCCACACCCACATGCCCACATTCCTCAGCTGCAGGACAGCACAAGCACAGCCTTTGTCCCAGAGGAAGAGGGAAGGAGGCAGAGCCATAGTTCTGTCCCCATCTGCACCAGACACAGAGGGCAGTACGCACTGTATTTCCTTCAGGGATAGAAGCATTGCCCCTGCATGGTGGGATGACCCAGGAAGCACTATGCTCCCAGAACTCATGTATCCAACATGCACCAATGCCTTACTGGCACAATAGAGCCAGGTATTCACATCAAATGCCAGATATGAGTTTACCCATTTTGCTGCTTGTTAATGATCTGTGAAAACAACTACAGTTTAGATTTACCTATCATGTTACTTTCTATTATGCTGTATCATAGGCTGGGGTCTGATGCAGCAGGTCATTAAAAAAAAAATGCAGAGTTACCAACATATGCCACCATTTTAAGAGCCAGGAGCTGTAAACCACTGAATACAAGACATTCTTAACATGGACATTACTAATTGAAATTCCCTTCCTTCTACAGTGAAAGCAGCTTTTTGTAGCAAAATAGCAGTTCTGTGCCTGAAAAAGTCTGCCTTTGGTTTTCATGGAAAATGGTGAAATGCAAATTGCATTAATTTACGTTGGACTGGTAAAAATACAATCTCTTTCTCCAATTTCATGGATAATAGGCTGAACCCTCCTGTCCCCCCCACCCTCCCACTCCCCTTCACAACTGCAGGCCTTGCAAGAGTGTGTGGGACCAGCTATGGAACTAAGAGAAACTGTGTGTATGTTAGAGTTTGAATTCCCACATTGTGCCCAGGATTGACACTTCTTTTGCTTATGGCCTTCATAATGCAAGCAAACTGGAACTTTACAGTAGTAGTATAAACACAATGTAATTTCACACCCATCCTGACCCCAATCTGTGCGTTCTGTATCTTGGTGAAGGATTATCTCCAGAGCTCACTCTTATAAGCTAGTCCACCACCAGGGGCGGCTCCAGGCACCAGCACAGCAAGCGCGTGCTTGGGGCGGCAAGCCACAGGGGGCGGCCTGCCGGTCGCTGTGAGGGTGGCAGGCAGGCGGCTTTCAGCAGCGTGCCTGCAGGAGGTCCGCCGGTCCTGTGGCTTCGGCGGCAATTCGGCACCGGGTACGCCGATGGCGCGGCACCGGTGGACCTCCCGCAGGCATGCCGCCGAATCCGCGTGACCAGCGGACCGCGCCGCTGAAAACTGCCTGCCTGCCGTGCTTGGGTCGGCAAAAAACATAGAGCCGCCCCTGTCCACCACAGTAAGATACACTGGAAGCCTGTCAGAGAGTGAAAAAAAGAGAAATTAGAGCCTTTTCTATGGGGCCCGGCCTCATGGGCCATACTGCTGCTTGTAGTTCATTGAGAAGCCTGAAGTAGAAGGGAATCCTACTATCAATACCACCGCTGCTCTGCTCAGTATTATTGGTTACAATGCATACAAAGAACAATCTCTGAAGAGGTCTGTGGTGTCAATATTAGTTCTACATCGACCAGGGTTTCCCCATCAGTCCAGGCCAAGAAAACAGCGTCTTTCTCGGTGTAGGCACTTAGCTATACCTCCTTCCCTGGACACACACATCCTGCACTGGGGATCAGTAGAGATGAAAGAAAGAGAGGGGAAATGGTAGGAAGACCCTAGCTCCTAACTGTAGTGGAAAGGAAGAAAAAGTATAAGAGGAATCTATGATTACAATATCTCATTCTGAGAGCAACTGAACAGCAGTTCCAGGGCATAGTGTCAACGATGTGGAGAGGTAAGTCATTCCCCGTCCTACACAGACTCCTATGTCAATTCCACAAATGCCCTCATGTCACCAAAACCCAGTCCAGAAAAATTCAGTCTCAATCAGTTTCAAGTGCTGTCATTCTCCCTGACCAGCTATTGGTGCCACAAGGTGCAGTACCAAGGAAGTCAGCAATCTGAAAGGATTTTTACATTAATTTAACTAATGTATTGTGGGCCATTTACACCATCTGCTGCCCAGGTGTCAGGCAAGAAAAGAAGGGTGGAGATGGGGCAGAAGTCTCAAAATACCATTCGGAGGTAAAATTCTTGGCCCAGCGGCTAAAGCTCATGAAAACAAAGTCTAGTGGCCAAAAGCCTACTAGTGAGAGAATTAAACCAGGTACTGTCAATATTATTTCTGAATTCTGTGGATCATGGGAGATTTCTTTCCAATTGTTTCCTGTCTGTAAATGTATGTGTACCTGTATGTGCACAAACACATACAGACATGTGCGGTTGAATGAACATAAGACTTTTTACTGGGTGAGTGACTAAACCAAAAGCAAACAGCTCACAATTAAATAATGGCCCTGAAAAGCCTGTACACAAGTTATCCTTCTACAAAGGTTTGGCATAAAAATGACCCAAGGTGTTTCTAAATGTATTTTTGTAGGTAAATGTCTGGACTAATTTTGACATTGCCTATAGGTCTCTGAACGTAATGACTGATTCATTGTGGAGTCACAAGAAATCTCTGCTGCTAAGTAGTTAAAGGCCTTTTTATGTATGTCAAAAAGCCAGGGATAGACATTCATGATCAGCATAGCTCCATGCCCCGGCGTGCCGTCCTCCTCCCTCTCTCCAAGTTGAAATATGCCCCCACAATCCCTTCCTGTAGATGGCAAGTTTCTATTTCTGTTTTCTCTTTCTAGGTGGATGACTGAAGCAGCAGAGAACCTTGGTGTCTGAAGAATGGCTAGTGTTGCTTTAGTGGAGGGAGAGCATTGCGGGTAAATTGTTTTTCAGCAACCTTGTCTTTTTTTTAAAAAATAGCTCATAGGTACAATTTAATTGCATGATTGTGGCATAATAGATGGGTAAAGGCAAAAAGAGTTCTCAAGCACCAGGGTCACAGAGAAGGATTTCAGCACCTCCACCTTGTCCATCAGTCCTTTATTCCTGCACCCATTGAGATGTTAAGGCGCAAAGCAATGCGAGATAGGGGTGCATAAATACCAACTGATGTTTGCCATTTGTGACAAAATGTGCCTTTTACTGGGTTAAGCTATAACGTTACTAGCGCAAGAAATTTAGAAACAAAAGTTTGGACCAAGGAATGAATATATAACTTCCACAATAGGCTCATATGGTTGGAGTTCCACAGCAGGAAATTATGAGCGTGTACAAGGGAACCACAATGTCCAACAGCATTACCCAGCAGAACATACCCATTTTTATGATCCGTTCTTCCAAGGATTTGCCAGAACCAGTCATGCTTTTTCATCCCACTTTAGAGTCTCAAGTTCAGTATTGTGTTTTAGGAATTTTCTGAACCTTTTACACCATTATTGGCTTTATCCTGGATGTGCGGAGTACTCTGGCTTGGAACCAGCAAAGCACTTAATTAGCTTTTAAGCACTTTAGTACTGTTGAAAGCTAATTGTGTGCTTAAGTGCTTTGCTGGATTGAGGCCAGATTGCTCAGCACCATGCAGGATTGAGCCCTATTAGAGTAAAGAAACAACGCATTTCTTGGACACATTTGAGTTGACCAGGCATCTACTTGTAACTAACTACATCTTTGGCAGGAGCATAGTGGGTTTCTTTACAGGACATTATAATATGTATTGGACCTAAGGCTAAGGCAGGATAGGTTCATTTTCATATAATCATTTCATTTGTTATGCTCATAATTTTACTTGCATAAAGTGGCAGTGTCAATTTTACAAGGATTTTTGTTTTCCCCAGAAGAACTTTACAAAGGTTGTAGTTATGGGTTGATCTCTCTCGCTTTTCATCCTGCTTTACCAGTTGGGATGAAAGGAATTTGCACTTCGAGGAAAGGAAAGCAAGAGCTAGCAATTTACAGATTGTACACTCAGAAACAGATCTTTTCCCATTTGCCACCCACCAACATCTGTGTGAAACTATCATTGTTTGCTCTCTCTTTGCATTGCCAAACATTTTTGGTTGGCAGTGGGTGGGAGGAGGAAGAGAGAAAAACTAAACAAAAAAACCCCCAATAATAGCCTGCCTATTATTTGAAGGAAAAATAAATCTTATTTTTCCCCCAAGTGATCCATGTGGCATCGCTCACTCCTATGTGTTCTCCATGTTATCCTACGGGAGATGAGTCATAAGCTGAAAACAATGTTTTGTAAAGGTACACCCCTGTAGAAAGCTCAAGTAAACAGGCTTTGTACAGTGAATTAAAATAGAAACTTGGCACAGAGGTAGACAATTCTGCTGCAGCCCATCTACTACAGTTGCCCCCTAACCTGCAGCATTTGTGTCTAGTGGATGTAATTCATGGACCCACTGGCCACTGCTCCGTCACTTCCTGGACCTGTCCACATGCCTACACACACACACACACACACACACACACACACACACCCTCTCCTCTGTGCAATGCCAGTGTGGAGCTTGGCAGCACACAGGTAGATTCTACATCACTTTATGCAGTATTTTCAGTGTCTAGCTCCCCTCTGTTAGTGGAACCATTGCAATCTACTGCATTCTGGCCTTTCTGCAGTCACAGAGAGGCCAAAAGGATGTCATCCCCATAGAAAAGAAACTGCAGCAATGTATGAGTTCTATAGATCTTCGTCATAATAAAACCGAGGTTTTTCAATGTTGTGAGCTCATTTGATATTTCAATGAAACAACAGGTATATTCTGCAGTCACTTAACATTTCTGCGGGACATGGTGCAGGGTAACATGAATATATATTGCAGCTAATGACATTCAGCTTTAAATCAAACAGTTCTAGCTGTGTTTCAGCAAAGCATGCTTAAAGCTAAGCATGTGCATGAATGCTGACTGAATATATGCTTATTTTAGCTTGGGCTGCCATTAGTTTGATCAATTACTATTCAGTTTCCTGTTAAAGCAGTTCAACAGTACATGTGTTCCTTCTTGCAGCCACACCTAGCAATGATTTACAAATGCTCCAAACACTTCAATGACCCCATTGATATGGCATAGGTCATTGCAGAAAAGGTCAGCACTCGTCATCCAGTTTCTGTCACTCAGCATTCGCACTCCGTTTCTTTGCTCTCACTGCACTGGGAAAGCTGAGCAGTACTACCTGAATCTCTCTTCCTACATGAAAAAAATGCTTGTTATATTTGTATCTCCACGGGGAAATGGGTTTGTATTAAAGTAATTCCCTAACTTCAAAACTTTCCAAAAAATGAGAAGCATAGATATCTTACCAACTCAAAGGACCCAGAATAATTACAAAGGCAAAATGGATAAAGTTAAAGAGCTTAGCAATTAATTCTTAATTACTGTGGATAATAAGGGCATTTATTTATTAAGGATTATAGTTTTATTAGCATTGTATTATTCATTTGAAGGTCAGAAAAATCTGCTTTTCATATCACTTTGGGACTATAAGCACTGCAAAAAAAGTTACCTTGTTTAGTCTCAAAACTAATGTCAGCATTAATTCATGACATTTTATAGGTCCATTCAGGCCTTATTTTTTTCATACATAGCTGTGATCTTCATAGAATATTAGGGTTGGAAGGGACCTCAGGAGGTCATCTAGTCCAACCCTCTGCTCAAAGCAGGACCAATCCCCAGATGTTTTTGCCCCAGATCCCTAAGTGGCCCCCTCAAGGATTGAACTCACAACCTGGGGGTTTAGCAGGCCAATTCTCAAGCCATTGAGCTATCTGTCCTCCCCAAGGTAAGGGTGTGTGCAAGGGGGGGGGATATTTTCTTTGCTTTATATTGCAATAAAATTTAACCCCTTGCAATCCCCTAGTTCTTCTAATTGAGAAATACTGTCTTAGATGTTTGGTAAAGGGGATCACTTGAATTTTTTGTGTCTAAGTCATTTGTTCGAATCCAGCCCAGGACTATAGTAATAGAAAGTTGTTAGTTACTGACATTTACTCGCAGTATGTGAAGTGAGTTGGTGGTCTCAGTCCAGTTTGCTAGTGGACAGGTGTCCACCCCACATACTGATTGTAGTTAAAATACGTTATTAATTTATCTCTTGTGGGGGGAGGAGTTGATATTCCTTTTAGTACGAGAGTTTCAGTCCAAATTTGGTGGGTCTGGATGAGGGTGCTTCAACAGAGGGACTTTTTTAGGCCAGCCACATAAAAACATATGGCCCAACTCAGTTAAATGGTCAAATATTAAAATACTTTCCTGGTTAGTACTGTCTTTATGAACAAATAGAACAGTACAAGGTAAGATTTCTCTGGCATCTCAAATACACGTACAAAGCTACCTCCCTCCACTCCCTCACCTTTTCCAGAGCACAGCAGCTCAAGCTCTAAATTTCTCCCTTACCCCATCAGCCAACCTGTCTGGTAGGTTTATGTGATGACACTCTTATTCCCATTATCTCAAAAATGAAGTGTTAATAGCAACAGCCATCTTTAAAAGCTCTCCTGTACCATTGGGTAGACAGATATTGTGCCTCTTGTTGGAATGGAAGCAGAGAGCTCCTCAACACTTAACACCTCACAAGAAACAGTGGAGCAATTAATTGTTTCCTGGGAGGTTTTACAGGGTATCCATCTTAATCTTCCCATCTCATTACCAAGGGCTAGCTACACCACTTCTCCCCTCCCCTCTTTTCATTGTTCCTTCTTTTTTTTGCTATCCTCTTATTTAATCTTCAGGTACCCACCTAACATGCCAACCCTACCTCCAGATTCCAGAAAGAAAATGGATAGGGTCAGTAAGAGTAGTTCTCAACTGTTTGCTGTCAGACTGGGAGGGCATGCCTAGTGGGATCCTGCAGGGGTTAGTCCTGTGTCCAGTACTAGTCAATATTTTCATTAATGACTTGGATAATGGAGTGGAGAGTATGCTCGTAAAATTTGTGGAGGAGGGGTTCAAGCAGTTTGGAGGACTGGATTAGAATTCAAAATGACCTTGATAAATTAGAGATTTGGTTTGAAATCAACAAGATGAAATTCAGTGAAGAAAAGTGCAAAGTACTGCACCTAGGAAGGAAAAATGGAAAGCTCAGCTACAAAATAGGAAATAACAGGGTAAGTGGTAGTACTGCTGAAGAGGATCTGGAGGTTATAGTAGATCACAAATTGAATGAGAGTCCACAATGGGATGCAGGTGCAAAAAAGGTTAATATAATTCTGAGGTGTATTAACAGGAATGTTGTACGTAATAGGAGGTAATTGTTCCACTCTACCTGGTTCTGGTGAGGCCTTGGCTGAAGTTCTGTGTACTACACTTAAGGAGAAATGTGGATAAATTGCTGAGGATCTGGAGGAGAGGAGCAACAAACAACAAGTACAAGATAAAAGGTTTAGAAAACCTGACCTATGGGGATAGGTTAAAAAAACCTGGGCATATTCAGCCTTGAGAAAAGATGACTGAAGGGGGACCCAATAATAGTCTTCAAATATGTTAGGGGCTGTTATAAAGAGGATGGTGATCAATTGTTCTCCATATCTACTGCAGGTAGGACAAGAAGTAATAAAATTAATCTGTAGCAGGGAGATTTAGATTAGATATTAGGAAAAGCTTTGTAACTATAAGGTTAGTTAAATTCTAGAATAAACTTCAAAGGGCGGCTATGGAATTCCCGTCATTGGAGGTTTTTAACAACAGGCAGACAACCTGTCAGGGATAATCTGTCAGGGATAGTCTGAGTAGATTTAGACTGTCAGGGATAGTTTAAATTTACTTGGTTCTGACTCAGCGCAGGGGGCTGGCCTTTATGACCTCTTGAAATCTCTTCCAGCCCTACATTTCTATGATTCTAGCTATAATGACCAAAATTCTCCCATTAGTGAGGTCC